TTAACTCCGTGTTCAAGTTACAAACTGATGTTGCTGTGGATAGCAAAAATGTGGTGCAAAAATCTTTTTAAAAACGTTGCTCCACATTGAGATTTTCCCCATTGTCGTGGGTGCGTTTACAAACATACAAGTTCACACACATGACACTCAGACCCGAAACAACAATCTGTGGATCACACAAAAGGTTGTTCCGTGCGGGAATCGAACTCGCGACACATTGCGCGGTAGCTTCATAAGACCTGTATGTATTACCTTAACATGCAAATAAAGACTTTGAGTTTGAGTTTGATTGCCCAGCCCCCGCACCAACCGTGCAGCTAATTAATAAGAAACAGAGAATATAGACCTAATGTTCAAAAACTGTAACCTGTCACCGAAAAGCGGGCAGCCTTTAAACTTTCGGTGACCTAACTGCGATGCCCGAGCCGCCAGCGAAATGTTAGGATTATACGAAACATTCTCTTTAAGCGTGTGCCTTTGAGAAATGGACATATTTTGACTTATATTCATGATAGTACTATTACAATGACAAATATTATTTTCTAGCTGTTGCCGTCGACTTCATCCGCGTAGAATATGAATTTTAAGGGCATAACTTTTTTTTGTTCCATTTTCCAAATTAAAAGTAGTAAACCTATGTTACTCCATAGTACATCACCTACTTGCCAATAAAAGTCCCCTCGAAATCGGTAATGCCATTCCATAGATTAGCCAGGACAAACAGACAGACAAAAATTGTAAAAAATATTTTGGTATGTGTATCGTATGTATATTCATACGCATGTAGTAAAAAGCGGTTACTTTAATATTACAATCAGACATTCCAATTTTGTTTATCTGTATTGATTTATTTAGATAATTTACATTCACATCATTACAGCATAAGCCATTAAGTTATTATTGTTAATCTATTTATCATCTGTTATGGTATGAAATCAATAATAATTCTCCCCTAAAAATATATAAAGGCGTTTGCTGTATACTTTCTTTTTAATAATCATGAAACTATCACTACAATTTCAGTCTAAGGAGTTACTGGAAACAATAGAACGATCATTCCTTTGCCTAATTGCACTTGTGATAATTCTTCCATCGACATAGTACGACTATCTATTGTAAACAATTTTATAAAATTGTATTTAACCTCGTTTTTGTTAAAGAAAACTATAGAAATAAATATATGGCCAACGCCCCGCTGTCACTCCTAACATGAACTGCACAACAAGACATTTGCGAGCGTTTTGTGGTTTCAAACCGTCTATTTATTGGAGGAAAGAGTTTTTGTGGTCGTCCCAAAAGCAAGCTTATAGTAAATGGGGGCTCACGAATACTTATTAATACTTATATCGCAGGCAAAAATGTGAAGATACAATTGGAAATATCTGTGGAAAGAAATTACTTTTTTGTCGGTAAGGTAGTTTGAGCTGGATTTATTATTTGTGAATTGAAAATGTAGGTCAAGGGTAATAAAGGGAAGATTGGAGTGTTTTTGTGAATTCTTTATTATTGAACTGATTTAGGATGGTGTGTAGTATGGAAGATTTGTTACAAAAGACTAGCTTGTTGGGCTCCATGAGTTTTATTATGGATATTGGCTGAACAGGTCTGAATTAGAAATCTAAAGGCAAGGACTTCTCGACTTGAATCGTGAAAATTTTACCATTGTAAATATTTATAATACATGTTTTTATAATAACTATTGTGAGACATACTAAATTAACTAAAATCATGGGTTACTCACACACGCATTGAGCTGCGCGACGTCGCCGCGACCGCGCACGCTGCTCATGAGGAAGAACCCCTCTGTGGTTCGAGCTTTTCTCAGTATATTTACGTGAGTTACCCGTGATTTTAGTTAATTTACAATATATCTTTTAAAAGTGTTTGTTTATGAATACATTTAGATATTACAAAAATGAAATTGTTCATCCAATGACAGCTCACATGAAACCCTTAAGAAATTACGACTAAAAGAAAATCCAAAACCAATAATTAACAATTTCCTTCCACAATTAAAAATAAGTAAACTAACTACTGCAGATGAAAACCCAACGAAGTGTGTTTGAGTGGTCGAAATTTTCGATAATACGGTTCGAGATTTTGCCTGAAGATTTTACCTAATTAATACCTACTACTGGGGCTGATCAGATCTGTCCAATACAAGTCCGTATTGCTCTTCGATTCGATTCGAAAGCTTGGTCCCAAATTTTCATTACGACTGCACAGAAGCGGGACTGACAGATTTAAAATATTTAATTGGCTTTCGAGATCGGGAGCAGTAGTGACGGGATTTATTGGGAATTAATTATTTTTGGCAGTGATCCGGGAATTTGGATTGTACGAGGTCGTTTTATCAAATCGAGGTGGATGGAAATTTTTTGGCGGGGTTGTATTTTGGACTATGGTGGACTCATGGTGGAATGGCGATTGGTGATAGAGATTTAGTCTAGATTTTATGAAAATGAATCAAAGTAACTTATTTTGACTAACTTTAACAAAAACCAGATGCTTTTGAAATCGTATCAATTAGGTATCTAGTTCACAACAAGTAATATTTCATTTTTATACTAAACGATTATAATAAGCTCAATTCTACCAATCAAGCTCTTTTGTTTGATATCCATAATGAAGGTGGTACTGTAATATATTAAATTATATTGTATGGTTATCAATATTAGGAGTGTGTACCAAATATCAGATCTAACTGCCGTCAGGAAAGGGGTAACATTCCAATTATTATATTTTATTCGTTGGCCCAGTGTTCGCAAGTGCAACCGCGGCAAGGAACCAGGTTCAAATTCCGGGTAGGGCAAAGAATGACTGGGCTTTTTAAAAAAAATCTCAGTGGCAGCACGGAGTCTAGAAACGTGCCCAGTATATGGCAATAGGCTTACCCCCTATATGAAACCCATAGCATAAATAGTGAAAAGAGGGTGTTACATTGTACAGTGGCATTAAATGTCATAATACCCCTTCGGGGGTACTGTGTGATTCAGATAAATGTCCCGTTTGGACAAACTAAATAAAAATAATTAAGTTGGTACTTTTGCAGCACTAGTCACGACACGAGTAACCTTCACTAGTACAAAATAGATTGTACCAAGATTATTACGTGTTAAATCAATTCATTTAATTCCGATAGCTGGAGTGAGTTCGGCTCTGTTCGATGAGCAAATATTATTTTTACTCTCGGCGAACAGAATGATTTCTTGTTCATATTATCGTTGTAAGCCATTATAGATAGCAACTCTTCTGATTTTTTCAATACGCAGAAATAATATGCAACATAAATGTTATGAACCCTTTCATTTACTTTTGTTAAGATATTTCTGATCATCTGATGACTTTAGTCTGTCTATAAGCAATCTTACAAAATATAATGCTTTTTATGAATAGATCTGGAACCCCTTGAGTTAGAAATTTAACGACATTTAACAACTTATTAGTGACACCTCACAGACAGGGCCGTCTTAGACAACGCTAAAGATGGAAATATTTTCTGTTAAGTTTGCATCCATTCATTCATCCATTCATACAAACTCTCCCAAAGAACTGATATGCGTTTCAGAGTACAAACAGATCATTAATGTAACAGAACACTTTAGTCGCTTCAAAATGGCGGCGTTTCGACAAATTCGCGCCAGAGATCGCACGTTACTGTATTATGACGTCACTACTAGTGTGGCCACGTGATACGCGGGATATTTCTTGTTTTCTCCGCTTTTTTAGAAGGAAGTTTCTCGATGTGTTCTGTTCACTGTCACTTGTGCATGACGTAAGTGTCTTATATTTGAGTTGTGGTGTGTGTTGTGTTTGTTGTGGTGACTGTTTATTTATTTATGTACCTACTGTTGTAAATAAAATGAATGTTTGTTTATATGGAATAGTTTGCGAGAATGTAGACCAAATACTTTATTCCATTCAGTTGTAATCATTTTGAAGTCATTCTATCTTTGTCCTCACTAGAACGACAAACAAACCAATAACTAACTTTTAATACAATAAAATATTGTCTTTTTAAAAAAAAATACACTTTAAAAAAAACTTTATTGCATTCCTCGCTAACAACACTTGGAAAACATAAAAAAATTGCATACCCGAAAAAATCCTAAATTTTAATTACAAAGCAGCTCCCCCCTACAGTCTCAGCGGGCCACTGTCAGTACGTAGATAGCTTAAATTACGTACAAGCGTCCCCCTGCGTGTGATCCCACCTTTACAACGGCGGAATAAAGCGCTCGCTTAAAATATGTAGTTATGTTAATGTCTGAAACTGCCTTTACAGTTTACCAGTTAGTTTTAACATTCCACTGTCTTGTATATATGAAAATGTTAATGACTTCTAGTTTCCCTGGGCGACTAAAATGTTGTGATTAATTTACTTTTGTTTGTATTGTTAAACTGAGTGGTTGAGTGGGCCCTGGGGGTAGTAATTAGTATGAGGTGTCGGCTTTCATGTCTGGCGTGAGCAACGTGTCTTGTGACGTCATATTTTGTCATAAATGATTAAGGAGGTGTTTCCCAAAAGATGATTTTTTTTAAAGGGGCAAATATTCGAATGTTTTCTCCCGTCTGGGTGAGAAGGGAGGGAGTGTCAGACTCTTACTGACTAAAAACCTTGTTTGGATGTGTATTGTATGGATATTTGTCCGCGCAATGACGCTGAAACTACTGAACGGATTTTGATGAATTTTGGTCTATAGGCCTATGAACTTAGGTGATAATTATGATACTTTTTATCTCGATTAAATGCTGTCGTGACATAAAACAGAAATCATATTCTACGCAGACGAAATCCCGGGCAGCACCTAGTAAATAATGGAAGGACACAACACATTGCTAAACATTTAAGATACCTATTGAAGATCATGGTCAGTTATGGGAGAATTTCAATCTTTATTGTGAATCGTAAATGTATGAATGTCCTTATTTGTCAATTTCTACAGGAGATATTACCTATTATGAAAGTGAAGTTAATTGTATGTGTTCTTTTGTTCCAGTGTCAAAAGAGGAGATCAGAGAAGTGGAGAGTCCGAACGGGAATCCGAAGGCGATGCGGTACACTACTATATCCAGGTGAGTTTTATTCAACTTTTTAATTACAACTATTATTACTTACCATATTTTAATTAGAAAGTTGTTTTTGAAAATCGACAATGATAGTGATACCTATAAACAGATGGCATAAGGTTCATTTTTTTTGGACATCTAGTAAAGTTAGTTTTGAATATTTTGTGGCGTCATAGTAATACAAAGATTTTATCACGATTATGCCTCAACTATGGAATAGATCATCACACATCAATCTATACAAAACCAGTTTATCCTGGTGTCGCGTCGCATCATCTTTCCGCACATTTAACGTTCAGTTTATACTGGTTATGTAAAGCTCGATGTGTAGTCAGTGTGTACAAATAAACTATGACTTCCATTAAAGTTCTCAAGATTATTTACTATTTGGACTGAAATATTTTGACATTTAAACACCACTGCCTCGTTAGCAGTGGTCGTAAGTGCGGCTGCTGATCAAGGTGTCCGATTCCCGAATCGGGCAAAGTATTACTGTTTATTTTTTAATTTCTCAGTTTTAGTATGGAGTCTAAAATGTGCCCAATATATGGCAATAGGCTCACCCCCTATTACATGGGACTCATAACATAAATAGTGAAAAGTGTGTGTTAACATTATACAGTGGCATTAAGTGCCGTAATGTGCACATCTGCCCACCCCTTAGAGAATAAAATGACTTGATGTTGTGTAGAGTACATTTAAGATATAAAAAAATCACCTATTGAAGAATAAAACTAAAATTAAACCACCAGAGCCAATAACTTATACAGAATGTATAAAAAACCAGAATACCGTACAAGATACAAGTTATAAAACAAAATATATACAGGAACATATCTCGTCTCCACGAGTAATTGACATCTAGCTGCAGAAGGGCCTAGCCACAAAAACTAGACCTGACTATATTGAATGATAGTTATGACGTCAGAACTAGTCTGCGATGCAGTGTGCCTAGGACAACTTTGCGAGGAATTTAGAGATCTGTAGGTGTAAGATTAAATCCTGCCCCGGCCCTGGTAACTTAACTCATACGACAAAAGACAACGCAAGTGTTGCTTCACGTCGGTTTTCTTTGAGGCCATGGTATGACTCCGGTCGAGCCGGCCCATTCGTGGCGAAGCATGGCACTCCCACACTTAAACCTGTTCCCAAAACAGTATTAATTACAGACTCTTCAAGACTGCAGTAAGAATATATTCTTAGCTGTCATGCTACGCAACTGTTACAGCAACAAGCATCAAATAACAGCATCCATAATGACATGTTAATAACAAACATTACGTTGTTTATTCCAAAATATTTGGGGCATCCCCCAAGGACCAGCAACGTGACCTGTGTCAAATTTTGACAGCAATTGTCGTAGTAACAAATTAGTTTTGCGTACGGAACCTTTTCCCTTATAACAATGTTTTAGTGACAAGATATCATCATGCGGAACCCTAATTTTGTTGGAAATTCTCCGCGTGGGCTCAAATTATTGGACTATTATACCTGGTTCGTTATATGATGGTTGCGGTTCATTAAGTTGGTTATTTTAAGGTTAAGATGCAGTTTTGGTGAGTAATTTATAGAAAGGTGGGCCGATCAAGTGCAAAGTATAGGTGGCTATGTGTTTCGAAAATATGAAAGGATTATAAGTAAACTAACACCTAACCTATAAAGAAATTAGTTGTTGATAAACAAGTTTCCTTGGGCGAACCGCTAAGGAATGAAATTCCTTTACGGGTTGTGTTTTCCGACAAATATAACTTGGGTGTCTCCAAGTCCCGACTGAACAGGTTGCTCATAGGTAGGCGTGCTCTATCGTCGGCCACAACATCGCTTAGTGAAACAAGTGAAACAAGTGAAGTGAAACAAGTGAATTTATTTCTGCAAATAGGCTACAAGGCAGCACTTTTACACGTCATTTTTATCAAGCGAACGATGAGGTCGCTTACCATACCATACCATACCATGGCGTATAAAAAAAGTAATTACGATAGTCTTCACAGTTCTCGTAGTATATACTATATGTAACGAAAATTAAATAGAGTATTATGATGGTATACTTACAAAACAATGACAATCAAATCAAATCCCAGCAAAGAAAGACAAGACAAGATAAATATTGCTAAAGTTATTAACTTAAATACTTGTTTAATAAATAACAAACACTTTAAGTGTGGGAGAGCCATGCTTCGGCACGAATGGGCCGGCTCGACCGGAGTGATACCACGGCCTCACAGAAAACCGACGTGAAGCAACGCTTGCGTTGTGTTTCGTCGTGTGAGTGAGGTTACCGGAGGCCCAATTGCCTTCCCCTTCCTCAATCTCCCCAATCCCTGAATCCCCAACGAACCTCAAACTCCTAATCCCCAGGGGGCCGGTGACGCACTTGTAACGCCTCTGGTGTTCCAGGTGTCCATGGGCGACGCCGATTGCTTACCATCAGGTGATCCGTCTGCTCGTTTACCGGCTTATGCCATAAAAAAAAAAAAAAAATAACAAAATTACCTAAGATGACCGTAATTCAACCCATTAGCAAGAACATTAAGTACAAACGCCATTATAATTGTCTTACACAGTTTGCCCAATTTTGCCTACCTCTTAACGAACAAAAGCGAGTTACCGGTACATTAGAATCATTACAGTATCAATAACTGAAACAGGAGTTTCAGAAGAAAACACCAAGTTCCCATTGTATACTGAAATTTACGGAAAACAAACGTCTGTTCTGTTACATTTTCAGCGAACATCGAACTTGTAACGATGTGAAAGTTTTCATCAAAATTGTTAATATTTTCATAACTTTTGCAACTTTTCATACCTACGGCATTTGTTGGTGAACTGTGGTCGAAATATATTACATGACATGCATCGAATATTATTAAGTTTATACGTACGTGAAGGGTTCTTTGTAATTTATTATTATTACGTGTCTCAAAATTAGACTGCCTCGTTGGCTGAGTGGTCGCAGAAGCGACTGCGGCGGCAAGTGGCAAGGGGTCTCGGGCTCCATTCCCGCACGGAACAACTCTTTGTGTGATCCACAGATTGTCGTTCCGGGTCTGGGTGTCATTTATATGTTTGTAAACGCACCCACGACACAGGAGAAAATCCTAATGTGGGGCAACGTGCGAAAAAAACAGTCTGTTAGTTGGTTCCATCCAAAAACTAATCCGATGTACAGACCCATATGACAGATGCCTGAAAGTTTCCTGAAACTCTGAAATTGACGTCTGCCACGTTGACAATGTAATATATTAGGTTTGTTTCAGTTCAGTTACAGTTAAATCGGTTGTCAGATATCTATTTCAGGAGTATATTACATTTCTAGATTCTAATTTAAGCTAGAATTGGAGGTTTCAACTACAATTGTAGTGGATAATAGTAAAAATGATTATAGTTACATTTTGGTATTCATGACATTATTATTATTGTATCTGTTTTATAGCTTCACCCTTATTACTGACATAGGGACTCGATGAAGCCAGAGCTGTAGACGACCTAGCGAGACACCAGAGCACCGGCTCGGAGCAGGAATAGGAACGGGGTGGTTTTTAGTCAGTAAGAGTCTGACACTCCCTCCCGCCTCACCCAGGCGGGAGAAATCATTGGCTGATATCTCCCCTCAAAAAAAGGACTATAAATAGAGAGTCGTAGTGGTGCATAAAGTCCCTGTACAGGAAGATGCTGTTAAATTAAGTGACGTCATACTTTTTAAAGCATGCCGTTGATATACGGTTATGTAGAAGCAAAGTTTAAAAAACAATTGACATAAAGCGGAATTCGAACATGTGGCGTCCAGCTGCATCGCAATCACTTATCATTTGTTTTTTTAAAACTAATTTATAAGTAACTGACTGCCTCGTTGGCCGAGTGGTCGCAAGGGCGACTGCCTGGCAAGGAGTCTCGGGTTCGATTCCCGGGTCGGGCAAAGTATTATTGGGTTTTTGAAAAAATCTCAGTAACAGCATGTAGTCTGGAATTGTATTATACTGGGCGGTACATGGCAATAGGCTCACCCCTTTTTAAATGGGAGTCATAACATAAATAGTAAAAAGTGGGTGTTACATTGTACAGTGGCATAATGTGCACCTCTGCCTACCGCTTCGGGGATAAAAGGCGTGATGTTATGTTATGTTTTATAAGTAACGCTATCCTACTTATAATTTTGTTACTTCTTCACGTCAAAACGGCTGAAGGGATCGGGATGAAATTTGAATCAGGGATAGATTGTGGTTTGGAAGAATACATAAGCTACAAGCTACTTTTTACCCCGCGGGGACGCGGTCGAAGCTGCTGGAAGAGGATAGTTTTATATTATATATTTAACACTGCCCTTTAGTTTCAACTCCCATCCTAATTCGTTTATTATTAACAAACTACGTTCACTTCCCACTGAAAGTCACGTAACTGTAAATTGCTGAAATGCAGTAAATTTATTACCAGCCCAGTTATTTCCCGGCTTTGTTAAACGCGTTACAATGTAGTTTAACAATAAAATTCATTGTACACTTGTTACTTTTATTTACTGGTATTTTTACTCTACTAATATTATAAATGTAGGTTTTTATTTGTGTGGCAGTCGTAAAAAATCATCCTGTATAAGCGGACTTTGCAAAAACACTGAGTAAAATTAGTATATGTTTCGATTTTCCCTGGTCAAGCAGTTTAATTGAACCTATTGTTAAACGCCGGGTATACTTCGTAATGAAACGTCAATAATACTTTACACGACCCGGGAATCCAATCCGATACTCCTAGTTTAATTATTCCAAACTTTATGATACTATTGAAAAGTTTTTGAGAAAACGCCAAAGCCCAAGCCCATATTCAAGACTCCCCCCTCTTCCGTGACACACATGCGAAATATCGAGCAAAAAGCCAGCATCAATATTTTCGAATATTAAAAAATTTAATCAAATCTCATACAATCAGGAAATACAACATTTAAATCTTTTACAGAATATCACGCGAGCTGTCAAAATATATTTTATTTTTTTAACTACCTACAGCGATAGCAT